ATAATGGAAAATCCTTTAGCTAGATACAATAGTTTAGAGAAATAATGAAATAGAGTATGTAAGCTGGTCATAGATATGATTTGATAAAGTACTTACCTGACAAAATACATTGCTTCAAATTTTCTTTAGGTTCATAATTCTAACATGGGTCGGTATCTTTCCGCAGATTACCCTTGTGTAACAAACTTTCCCTGGATGCCACTTTAGATGTGATCTGTGTTTAATCACTGAAAGGAAAAATGCTTAGACATAAGTAAAATATCAACAGGCCTACATTAGAAGACATCATAGCAGGATCTCAATAAAAAGTCTGTCATTTAAGCCTTTTCACCAAGGTCTCTGCTGAAAAATATAAACTATCAAGTGAATGAAAAACAAAAATTTGGTAGAATTGAGCACTCGAATGATCAGTCAACCATTTTTGCTTTATAAAACCATAAGCTATTTTATTTTTTCAGTCTCATTTATATGGCAAAAAAAGGCAAGACAAGGAATCAAAAATTGAAATTAATTAAATTTAGAACAATAGGGAGGTTACATTAGAATATGACATTAAGAAGTATTTTTCTGAGCAAATCAAATTAATTCACTTTTACTTATTTCTTCTGGTTATAATAGCAATAGAGAGCATAATTTTCCCTGGTTAAATGACTTACACTGCTTTCAAAATAATAAACCAGCAGTAACCATGGCTCCACTTCCTTCGTATCCTAATGAGCTGTCACATGTACACAAGACCCTCCCCCATGGAAAGATTATAGAATACATTATTTGGAAGCTAAAATGTGTAGCATTCTCCTTACAGGCATTTGAAGATATATATATTGATCAACGAAAGACAATCAAGACTATGTTGGAATATGCTGACAAGGTCTTCACTTACATCTTCATTCTGGAAATGCTTCTCAAGTGGGTGGCATACGGATATCAGACATATTTCACTAATGCCTGGTGTTGGCTGGACTTCTTGATTGTTGATGTAGGTATCCTCCATATTTTTGTCTTCTGACTAAAGTAGTTTTTTGGTTTTTTTTTCTGTTTATGCTTTCATTTTAAAATAGCAAACCTCTTACCAGATGTTGTGATGACGGGGTAGCCATGCACTGAATGCTGGTGTGCTCTACCGAAGTCGTAGGATAACTTAGTAAGGATTTAAAATAGCACTGAGAAGGCCAGCTAAATAGCTTAGTGGATTAAAGTGCCTGCTTAGGCAGACGCAGGGGTCAGGAGTTTGATCCCTTGGCCTGCCTTGCCAGCCCTACCTCAGGGGTTTGCTGAGAAGACAATTGAGTCTAGGCATGGTGGCGTGCATCGGTAATCTCAGCAATTGGAAGGCTGTAAACAGGCAGATCACTGCGAGTCCGATATACACAGTGAGCTCCTGTAGACTCTATAGACCCTGTTCTAAAAACACAAAATAAATAAATAAGTAAATGAGATAGCACTGAGGAGATCAGGTATATTGTGATTGTCCAAGACAAAATGCTGAAGAAGAGAGAAAAAAAAAATAGCTAAAAGGGGAACTAATAAAATAAAGAATATAAAATACATGTTGCTCAAATTGTTTGCGCTGTAAATCAGACACTGGGAGTTTATCTTCCTGCCCAGTGGTTATTGCCTTTAGATGCTAATGAATCACTAACCTTGTAAAATAGTGATGTTATTTCCACAATATTAAAGGAACTAAATAAACAAGGAGGGTAGTTGCCACTACTGTGTTTTTATTTCATTAATTTACTGAAAGTTTTTGAAAGGCAGATGTAAAAAAATAGGTTACACAGATCTACTACATAATTCCACTTAGAAGTAGAGTACGCACAAATGCAGTGAAAGACATGTCTCTATTTATACCAAGAGGAAATTTTCCTAGAATATGGACTAAATTTCCAAGCCGATATAACAGAGCACCCTTTATAGAATTTGTAAACCTGATGATAAACACTGCATTTCCCCTAAGGCAAGTGACTAATTTCAACACATATCAAACCTAAGTCTGGGAATATAAGTTCGCTGGTGCAGCACCTACCCAGCAAGTGTGAAGTCTTGAGTTTGAGTCCTGGTACTCCTCCCCCCACTAAAAAAAAAAAAAAAAAAAAAAAAAAAAACTAAAAAGTTCAACATCATGTCTGAGGTTATCATCTTTACATAGTTTTAAGGTTAGAAAACTGCAAAATTGTGTAATCTCACAGGCAACAGTTTTTCCCTGCAGGGTTATAACCCTGCAGGACATGTTCTTGTTCCACATGTTTCTAGAGCTCAGTTCTGCACCCATTGGATCGCCTTGATTCTCAAGCATGGGCGGGCTGGGATGAGGAGACAGCTTGGCAGTCTAAGTGACTGCCTGGCAAGCACAAGGACCCAAATTTAATCCCTGGTACTGCATTCCTTGCCAGCCCTGGAACCCTCGCATGGAGGTGCACACCTGTAATCCCAGTGCTGGGAAGGCTGAGACAGGAGGATCACTATGAGTCCGAGCTGCGTAGGGAAACCCTGTACCAAATACATAAATAAATAAATACTTAAAAAAAGAATTGGTAGTCAAAAACTACATTAAAGTCTTAAAAATAACAAAATAAAATAAGCAAATTGAGGGAAAACTCAAAATAAAAATTATTTCACCATATCAATAAAGTGGGAAGGAGCCGCGGAGATTGCTCAGGAGAATAAATGCTTGCCTGGCAAACACAAAGTCCTGCGTTCAATCCCCAATACCGCAAGAAAAAAGTGGGAAAGAAGTCTTTAACACTGAGGTTAAGCCTTAGAAGCTACATAATATTTTTATTTCCCATAATTTTTTTATACTGGATTTAATTCTAAACATAAATTAACCCTCTTACAACTTACTGAAATTAGCTTTAGATTTTTAATACTTTGGCAAAAAAAATGATTTTATTTATCACAACTTAATTTATGAACTATACTCTGGCTTCTCTTCAGATAGTATAAATCTTTCGCCTTTTAATTTATGAACTGTATTGAAATAAGTCTACAGGGAAGAATGTACTTAGATACTAATATTTTTATTTTCAATGTTCTTCATTTATTTCATTGGGAATTAGTGTAGCCATTTGGGAAAAAAAGATAAAAATAACTATTACACATCTCAAATAATGTAAAATGTATGCTGAGAATGAGAAAATAGAAATTTAGTGAGTCAGGGAGATAGCTCAGTGGCACAAGCACCTGCCTTGGCAGGCACAAGGTCTTAAATTCGATTACTGATAACACACACACACACACACACACACACACACACACACACGAAATTCATGTAAAAATAGCGACCAGTGTATGTAGAAATCTCTAATATCAGACACTTCCAAACTAAAGATACTGTAATTGTCCTTTGATTGGCATTTTGATAGGGTTTTTTTTTTTTGTAGAAAATTAGATGCTGGATGGGTTTTTTCATTAGTACTTGCATATTTAATTTAAGTGAAGTAAATCTATTGCATCATTTATTTAGTAAATATTCACTAATTAGCCACTTGGAACCAAATAATATCACTTGGAAACAAGTATTATGATAGAAGCTGTAAATTAACTTACCAAGTGTTGAAGAAGTTTCATGATGGAATTAGTTTCTTAGTTAAATTATTTACATGGAAATGAAATTGTTTGTTTGTTTCGTTTTGTTTTAGAGGGGCAAGGTCTTGCCCTGTAGCTCAGGCTGGCCTCAAACGCATATAGTGGTACTTCTGCCTCAGCCTCCCTAGTGCTGGGATTACAGGCATGTGCAACTATACCTGGCTGATTTAGTGTGTTAATTCTGAAAATATCGATTAGTTGAATATACTACCTGAGGGCAGAGATTTCTTGCTTCTTACAGTACAACAGAAATTTGGGTCTTATAATTAAGTATAGACAAAGCCCTAAATTCAGTACAGATAATAAACTGGTAAGGAATGACATTTTCTTCCAATTGTATTTTGTTCATCTTTATCATTATTGTTATTATTATTTGGGGGTGTTGCGGAGTCATTCTAGGCCCTTGTGCATGCTAATGCACTCTACAACTAAACTATGCCCCAGTTTCTATTTTATTAACTTTTAACTTTGTTTTTCAGCTAATTGCTCATTCATTTGTATTAGTTGAGCAACTTTAATTCATTTTATTTTATTTTTGTCTTTTCGAGACAGGGTATTGCTATGCAGTTCAGGCTGGCCTTGAGCTCACTCGGCAGCCCTGGCTAGTCTCAAATTCCCAACGATCCTTCTTGCCTCAGCCTCCAGAGTGCTGGGATTATAGGTGTGCGCCGCCACACCTGGCTCATTGAGCAATTCTTAAATTACATGACATTTAAGGTTTTTATTGAACTAGTTCTTAAAATCACCTTATCTAGTTTCAAACTGTCTTAAAAAGAACTTTCTTTGATTGAAACCAAAAACATTTCCTTACAAAATTTAAGAGGTTTCCTGAAAGTATCCAATTGTTTATTTTCTGAATAACCACAAATAAAACTATGTGTTATCTCAAAGAGTTGACTGGATGACAATCATTTCCATATTATGTGTGCTTACAGGTTTCATTGGTCAGCTTAACAGCAAATGCCTTGGGTTACTCAGAACTGGGTGCCATCAAATCCCTCAGGACACTAAGAGCTCTGAGACCTCTAAGAGCTTTATCACGATTTGAAGGGATGAGGGTAAGGAACAAGAAAAACCTGAAGTACTACATGTAACCTTAATTAAACTCAATTTAATTGACAAAAAGAAGAACATGTGCATGCAAAAGGAATGGCAAACCTTTGCAAAATTGCTACTTTATCTTCTGTCTGTTGCATATTTACTTCTAGGTGATATGCAAGAGAATGTAGGCCTCCGTTAAAATGATATAATATCATTTATCCGCTGAGCTCATTAAGATGACTTAATTTCCTAATCTATCTTGGGAGTTTCCTTACAGTCCTATATTCAAAAAAAGTAGATGCACTATTAAAGTATTATGTGTAACAATATAACAATTACCTAAAGTGAATTCTGCATCATAGACTTCTGCTTGGTGATGATCCATCTGTACTTACTGAGTTTTATTGAAAATAATATAAATCATACATGTGCTTAATTACTAAATATGAAGGAAAAAATTAAGAGCTGTCACAAACTTTTGTCTCCACAATGCCAACGTTTCATTATTTGAACATATGCAAGGGCAGATATTAAATATAAACTATGTAATAGGCTTTGCAATTAATTGTTTAATACAACTTTAATTTGTGAAAGTATGGATCTTCATATTTAACAATAATGCCAACTTAAATATTACATATAAACCCACATGATTTTTGATGGTAAAGTAAAACATAACAAAGTATTGTAAATAGAATGTACATTAACTTATTACCATAGATATTTCATAAATTAAGCTTAATTTAAATATCATTTATCAGTCACACAAATTTTTATATTTCCCCTTTTAAAGAAACATTAAACCATAATTCTCCATAATTCATAACAGATTAGAAATTTTTCCCTTATTGATCTTATTTTCCATGACATTTTAAAAGCATGAATCATTAATGTAAATGAGGTATAATGTAAAAAAAATTAAGTCTATTTCTTAAGGGCCAAGATTGCTTTTATCTAAACAAAGCCACTAAGCCAGAGAGAAAAACAATGCTGTTTTACTACCTATCATTCAGTTACGTTTAGAGAAATGAAGCTGTAATACCAACTTCTCTTTGCATTTTTAAAGCCTTATGTTACTTTGTAAGTTAAATTTATTAAAAATGTCACCTTTTCAAAACACAAGACTAGCCCAGTGGGGTGAGGCATGCCTGTAATCCCAGCACACAGGAGGCTGAGACAGGAGAATCACCACGAATTTGAGGCCAGCCAGCTCTAGACTTTGTCTCACAACAACAACAACAAAAAAAAAGCCATAAAACTTATTTTCTCTTTCCCAACATATTCTAAAACATTTTCTTCACCAGAAACATGCTAAGTCATTATAATGATACAATTGATCTTGCTTTATTTCTCACTAAGATCCTCGCAAATTCATTAAAGTATTGCCAGAAACTCTTTCCAAAGCAGTTTCAGTTCTCAAGAAAACTATTGGGCCACCCAGAGAGCTCAGCAGACTAAAGAGCCTACTCAGGCAGACCGAAGCTGAGGTTTGATCCCCAACTCCATTGCCATGCTGGCCCTACTGCTGGGGCACACTGAGACTGGGTGTGGTGGTGCGTGCCTGTAATCCCAGCTCTTGGGAGGATGAAAACAGGAGGATCACTATGAGTCCGACCTACATAATGACACCCTGTAGACCCTGTACTAAATACATCAAAAAAAAAACTATCATTTTCATACTTTCTACATAAAAACATGTCGCCTGAATTAAAATAAGATATTTCACAAGGTTTCTAAAATCTGACATTGTTGAATATTTGAAGTTACAATTCAAATGTGTCATCTCAGAAGTTTACTGATTCTGTGGGTCAAGTGGTTATTTGTATATATACCACCCTATGCCCATAATAATTTTATCTTGTTGGTCTAGTTTTACTTTTTACTAAAATGGACTTATCCCTAAATGTTACTCAGTGATGCTTTATATAAAAAGAGGTTAATTTCTGAATCCTGGAATTTTAAAACTTTATAAACTTCTTACAGATGCTAAAAAGCAGTCACTTAAACTACCAGATTTATGAATATGGCCATTGATTTCAAAATAACATCATACATACCACACAAAAATGACTGAGTTCTTCAACACCCGTTTGGCATTGTGAAGTCAAAGTTTCATTATTATCAATTGTGCTTTCTGTGTTTCTGGTATCTAATCATGAGTAATGGTGAAGTTAGTTACAAGAATGATGATTATTATAATTTGAAAGTGAGATTTCATTCATTCAGAAACTCTCATTTAATTCTTTTCTCTAGCAGCATAAAATCTCAGTATCTCTGTTAAAAGTATGAATCAGGCGCTCATTCTAATTTTGTTTTTGTCACTTTTTCAAAGCATGCGCTTCTGTGCAGCACTACTGAATAAAGCATGCCGTATAGTGCTTGGTAAGAAGTTAGAGAGTACTAAATAAATTATCATCCTGTTGCACTTTGTGTTTTGCATGCGTTATGCATATTTCTGGCTGACAGCTTTTGAACACTTATTGTATTTCAAATTTCCAGTCCAAATTTTTCAACCCATAAAATTGAACTGAGTGAATTGATGTCGTGAATATCTAGGGTAAAATAAAATTCGTATTTAAATTGGTATTTTTAATTTCCTGAACTAGGAAATCTTAAATACTTTTTCAAAAGAACTCAAGTCTTCATGGAAAGGGAAGTAGAGAGCATCATATACAAAAGTAACACCAAATGTTCTGTCATATTAGATTTCTAACTAATAACAAACTATATATTTCTATTTTATATAGGATAATCTTGCTCCAACTTGGATGGGGTGGAGCGCTGGTTCCTCCCCTCAGCCCTTTATTATGGGTACTGTATTACCCCTTTTGCTACCTTTAATCCTTGCACTGTGACTGATGTGTAGTGGGGTGAGGGAGGGGCTGGGAAGGGACTCTGGTGCCACAGTAGGGATAACATAGTATTTACTTCCTTAATCCACTATTTTCAATTGTCTTACATTTTTCTTGGAAAAAATAAAACCTTTGTGAATTTACCTTTTGTGGATTTTTAACCACAATGGTTGATATCTTATTAAGTTTCACTGAATGTGATTTAATGTGTCTATTGAGTTATCCATTGATGGGGAGATTATTTGGTGAGGGTGGGGGACCCTGGTGTAGGAGGATTGTGTTAAAAAATCTTTTTCATCAGATTGATGATACTATTGAAAGCGTACAGCCCTTGCTCTTCAGTCTATTAGCCTGAGTCCCAAAGATGGCCAGCTGCAAACCAAAAGTCAACTTTTAATATGCTTGAACAGATGCTACTGTGTGATTTTCCAGGTTTCATAAGACTGTTATTGGTTGTGACCATTCTCATTTTCATTTTGGTTAAATGTGTAGGGGTTGTTCTCAAAATGTAACAAGGCAAAACAAATTGAGGTGAATAAGTACAAATGTTCTTGGTTTTAAGTAGGAGAAAAATACAAAAAGCCCACATACATAAATTATACAAAATTGGACTGTCATCTAAAAATAAAACAGAAAGATACCTTGATAAATATTAAAATAGAAACGAATGTATAAACTCACTTCTTAGAATGAGTTACTCTAAGCTAACTTCTGTGATTCTTAAAAGACATCACAGTGGAAAAAAATAAAAATACATCTATATTGATTTTTATATTTAGCAACAGAGTGTAAGAAGGAAAATTTTTAAAGAGGAGAAAAGATGGAATTTTTGTTTGGATAATTGATTTATTTTATCCTTCAAAAATAATTACCTTAAGTAAAACCAACCAAAGAACTTAATTGTTAGATTTTAAAAAAATTCTCCATACTCAAAAGGAATGATTCCTACTTTACCTGCTTTTAATTTTTATCATTTTCTTGTATTTCATTAAAGCAGCATTAAAAACTATGGATGGTATTGAAATTCAAAAATCATCCAGCAAACTTTCTAGATGTAGAGAATTCTCAACTCTAGCTTCCTACATAATTGTCAATCCCTCATTTCATGTTGAATTAATTAAAAAAAACTATAAATAATGAACCAGCGATAAATGTTTCTATAAGAACTGGTTGTACTAGACTCAAGAAATTCTATTTGATGATGCTTTGAAAAAAATGTGTGACATGAAACAGTACTAATTTTAAGATAGTTCCTTTCTTAGACATTTCTCTTTATGCAGCCTGAAATTTCAATTTGGTCTGCTCAGTTCTGCAATCCCCATATGGGAACCAATTACCTTTTCCCTAGAGACTAAAGAGAGTTAATACACTTCCCTCTCTGTTGACCCAAGACTTGGGATCAGGCTCTTGGGAAAAGATAATCCTCTCTATGTTCCTTTGCCAACTAATGAAATGAGATCATAAATATGAATAGGCTTTTGCACAGTAAATTCCCCAATACTATGGCAAATATCTCAAAACAAAATTTCTTTTACCTCGGTAAAACAAAACTTCGCAGGGGGCTAAACACTGGCCTACTTTGCATGTCAGATGAACCACACAACTGCAAAGCACTTGCTTGTGCTGTGAATTCCATAACCAGAATTCATTTCAACCCAGACCAGTCCCTGTTTCAAAGTAAATCTCTCAGTTTACTGCCTTGCTCAAACATTTTTGTGCTTTGTTCTTTAATTATTCTTTTCTCGCATTCAGAAATAAGAGTTAAAACTTACACTTTGATCAGTAAATGCTAGGCTAATCTTCATTCATTCACTCATTCATTCATTCATTCATTCATTCATTCATTCATTCATTCACTCAATCATTTCTGTATTTGTATGTCCAAAACTTTCTGTTGTATTGCTGTATTCAAGGCTTCCAAAGCCGTGGAGAGGTCTCAGATGTATTTTTGCATCTTATATATTTTTAAAAGCCTATAATCTGTTAAGAATGCAAGAATATAATTAACTCTACTATTGAGCAATTATCAGATAAGTGGGAGCAACTCTTAGGACAACTAACAAGGTAGACTGGGAGAGCTCCAGGTGCTACTTAGTCTGCTTTCTGAACTTGTTCATTTTTCTCATTTTCCAAATGAGACAATAATAATAAATTATCTCTATAGTTCCATAAAGTACTACATTTCTGACTCTTGAATTTAAAGGAGAAAACTCTCATCTTTATGCTGAACTAGAGAGTGAGATGAAGATCCATGAAAGAAGTGTTTTCGTATTAAAGCCTTTGCAAGGAGAACAAACTTCAGGTAACAAGATATTGGATAGGAATTTCCAAGCACAGAGCTTCCCAATGCTCTGCCAATTTTATTAGCACATGGCGATGCTATTACTTGGAGCAGTGTGAAGGGTGATTGGGCAGGAAAGTAGAAACTAGAAATGTAGATTGTGGGATGATAGTTTTAAAAAGATATTTGGTAATCACTGGGCAACGTTAAGTAATTTTTAAATGGGACTTGAGCTCATCTTACACGTATTGAAGGAACAAGGAAAGGGAGACTGAGAAGGGTGTAGGGATGTAGTGAACGCAGACAAGATAAGGATAGGCACAAGGAGGATGGAGAAGTGACAATGGAGAAAGACGTTGAAGAAAGAAATGAGAAACTTACAGAGTCGTGTGAAAGGAAGATCGAGAAATGGGTATAACCATTTTTCTAATCATTCTATAAACTGGGGATTCATGGGGAAAATAGGCATTTTAGTATATGTAGAATAAATACATTTTAATTTGAATAGAGAAAGAAATAGAGAAAGGAATAAGTTCAATTTAGAGCTCAAATCTTAAATTCAAATAATCTATTCTTTATTTAAAATTATGTACGTATAAAACAAGTGTTTATTCTGTCAATTTATTTAGCTAAACAGTAAAATGAGATTTATCAGTTTGGTAGGCTATCATCTGGTCACCTGAATAACAAGGTGAATTAATTTTTCCATATTCATTTTCCAACTTTATTATTACTGGTTTCATTATTTCCTTTGGCTCACTTATCACTCTGTTTTGTGTCCCCAGGCCTGAAGATGTTTATGGACTTCACTCAGGCCTCAGAAGTATAAGGAACTAGTTCTTGCAGCTTTTTTCAGGCAATTAGAATCTTTGTTCTAAAAACACTCTATCACAAAAGCCAAATAGAAGATATTTTGGTATCCATTGTCTACTTTGAATCTGATTGAAAAACATAAGCAGTCTATAGGTGGAATTAAGCTTAGCTATCAGTGGTCAGCTCTGAAACATCATCTACCATCCACCAGCATTGGAGGGTCTGTCTTTATCTTCATATTTAGCTCTCTATGTGCAGTTCCACTGGGAACTGCAGATCAGAAAACAAAGACAACAGTGTTGTCAAAAACGAAAATCCCATGTTTCATTTGTGATCCAGAAATAAACTGTATTAAAACCTTTTTAGATAGGAAAAAAGTAAATAATTTATCCCAGAACTTCATGAAATCATATCAGATTTGATAATTACATGTATGTCATCCCTCTTTTTTTATTCTTCCTAAGAAACTAATTTCTATTATGTTTCATTTAAAATAAGTTTATGGAATTAAACTCAGTAAATGAAACAACTGATATGACTGGAGCTTGAAATAAACGATGTGATGATCTAATGAAATACATAATGCTAAATTGTCTTGCTTCTTATGCAAAAATTATTAGTCATAGCAATGCATGAATAATTAAGGCCAAATTATATTAGGTATTTTAATAATATTTTATATTTATACATACTGAGCTTTTAATTTATTTTACAAGTATATTGGTCAAGTCAGTTCATGCTCAAATGTTTTAGTTCTGTTCTTTAATATACTGCCTTTTTAAAAACAAATCAATCTTCTGTATAGGATTTACTATTTCTCTTTTTTTAATAAACAACACATATTCTATAGTTCTGTGGTAGCATATTCCTCTATTTTTGCTTTTCCTTTGATGTTTTAGTACTTCTTCCTTTTGAAATTTTCTTTATTTAAAATTTCTTTGTTATATTGTCTATTTTTGTTTTCTAAGTGTATCGCTTAAGAAAGAATATATTTAAGTTTTTCTTCTTTTGCTTTCAATATCCTAGAATTAACCTTGGTAGAAAAATAAAGAATATTCGGGGAATGGTTTTTCTTTTATAACCAACAAGAATTCTGACTTGTCTTTTTTTCCGTTTGTGTGTTAGGTGGTTGTGAATGCCCTTTTAGGAGCGATTCCATCCATCATGAATGTGCTTCTGGTTTGTCTTATATTCTGGCTAATTTTCAGCATCATGGGCGTAAATTTGTTTGCTGGCAAATTCTACCACTGTGTTAACACCACAACTGGTGACATGTTTGACATCAGCGAAGTCAATAACCATTCTGATTGCCTAAAACTCATAGAAAGAAATGAGACTGCCCGATGGAAAAATGTGAAAGTAAACTTTGATAATGTAGGATTTGGGTATCTCTCTTTGCTTCAAGTTGTAAGTGAAAACTCTTTTCTCTGAAAATTTTGTATTGTAATAACAACTAGAATAATAACAAAGTACTAGCTACATCTGTTATTTAGTTACTAATACAAAAGTTCACAATATTTTTTCTAATTTTGATTTATTAGTACAAGTGTATGAGTCCAGATGGGCATAACTTCATAACATGTACAGACATATTTGTTTGTGGCCAGGTATTTTAGTTCCTTCTATAGGTCTTATTTTTCTTTTCCCCCTTCTCCACTTTCTCCTGATTCTTTTAATTTTCCATATAAACTAGCTGATAATTAAATCAATAACTTAGTTACTACTTTTTCTGTTGCAATTAAACACTTGTTTATCTAATAGAGCCTCCATCCCCTAAATACACCCACACATTCACAAACATACACACACTTAACACATCCAGTTGAATTGTTCCTAATTTATAGGAATTAACTGTCATTTATATCATTTTGGATGGAAAGGATATGATCCATTTTGGATGGATTTAGGGGGAATAATAGATCTCAAGTCATTTTTGTACAGAAAGGGAACAACATCTGCAACTAGACAGGCACAGAGATGAACCACAAACAATGGTCACCTCGTCTCAGATGACCTTTCAGCACCATTATTGGATTCTATTTTATCCAAAACATCCCACTACATATCTAAGATGGACTCTCTCAAGAAAAAATAATTTATACCAAACCAAAGATGGCAATTTTAAAGCATGCTTCCTTCAATGCCTCTTTTAGGGGCAGCTGGATCACAAAAAGGCAGTAAAAAAAAAATCTAGATTATTCAAAAACATAACAAAATGCTATTTCTTGTTTGATGAAATCTCACCTTAAAAAAGAAAGCAGTATAATTTCTTCCCTAGTGTTTCTATGGTTTCTTTAGGACAAAAAAAAAATCTACCTTTGTTAGCAATGCTTTCAGTCATTGAACTATGAGGCTAATCAAATAAAACCATACAGGTCAACACCAGTATATGGTTTTCAGAAATGTCTTTACTATGGTTATTTTTCAAATTTTCCCATCTTTTTGTTGGCAATTCCTGTCTTTTTTGCATTGGGTATTTTTAGCTCATTGTGCATGTTCATGCACTTAAAGCAGGGGCTTAGAAAATATAATCAGAATGATTTATTTAAAAATTATAGTAACACACTATGACCTTTCCCTTTTCATTTATTTTAATCCCTAATAACCACACTTCTAAATGTCATTAAAGCATATAGCTTCCTTCATAAAGCTGAGGAATAAAGAGAATGTTTTAAACAATCCTTCAAAATATTAGATTCTGAAAATGTAGAATGGAAGCTCTATACAAGTATTCCATACATCACGTTACCAAAAAAGAAAACTCTAAAATCCTACTTTGTTTTTGCCTTTCTACAGAATTATTTCCCCATTGATTTGTTCATCCACTGAGATTATTTTGTGAATACTTTTTTCTGCTCTTGTACCACATGTGTTAATGGGGTTTTTTTTAATCACTTACCTGAGTATTGGCACCTTCAACCCTTCCCTCTTTGATGTAAACTTTTATCTCCAGCTTCTAATTAAGAATCCTAAGTTCCTTTTCACATCATGCACATTCTCATCTGGTGTTCTAGCACTTCTCTCATCAGCGAGACATGATTCCCAGAGAAAATCAAATGAGGAAAAATCTGTTTCTATTCCCAGTTTGCAGAGGTGTCAGTCCATAGCCCTCTAGCTCTAAAGCAGAGTGGCGGAGCAGAGGGGCACAGCTAAAGAGAAGCTGCTTAAGACACAGCCAATAGAAAGCAAAGTCAAGAGAAGTGCTGCCAGCAGAGATAAGCCCTCACAGGCCATGTCCCCAGACCTTCCTAGTCCAGCCAGACTCCACCTAACAGCACCTCAGCTGTGAATTCTGATAATCCAGTCACCTTTCAAAAGTATCACCTGTGATGCCATGAGGCTTTAGGGATACATCTAACTACAAATCATAACATTCAGCTCATGGCCTCCAAAATATTCGTACACATCCCTTTACACAAAATGTTCTAAGGGCTGCCAGAGTTTCAATAATTTTAGCATTGCTGAAAAGTTCAAGTCCAATGTTTCCTCTGAAATTTAAGGCAAATTCTTACCTGATGGCACAAGTAAATGTTGAAAAGAAACTTAAACACTGTCAACAAATATTGGCACAGGGTAAGCATTTCCACTGCTAAAGGAAGAAAAAGGGGGATAGAAACCAATGGCATCAAAACCCAAGAGAGCAAATGCTGCATCCTGCAATTCCATGTCCAGCACCTGAAGCAAGTGGTAGGGATAAGAACTTGGGCAGCCAAGGTCTATGGCACTGCTGGTGGTTGAAGCTCTCACCGCTTCTCTTGTGATCTGGCTTTGCTCACTACTTGCAACTTTTTTCAGATGTTCTACATCCCTAGCATCTCCAACTTGTTGGGGCTTCCCTTGTACTTTTGGCTAACTCTCACAGCTTCTCACACTTCCCTCTCAAGGGATGCTGCCTGGCCTCCTATGTCTTCTGAAATCTTCCTGACTCCATAGATTTAGTGTTTTGTATGCTTGGAAATTCAGCAATATGTGGATGCTGCTTGCATGAGTAGTAACCAGTCCCCATTGAGTACTGGCAGCCCTGGCCTCTACATGCTTGGATGACTGAGCACTGTCGACTGAATATACAGGGATTGATGCTATAGGTTGGGGGCCGTGGAGACAGCTCAGTAGTCTAAACACCTGCCCAGCAAGCCCAAGGACTGGATTCAGTCCCCTTCATCACATGCTGTGCTGGTCCTACCTTCAAGCTACAGAGTGAGACCCTATACCAATGCTGTAGGTTGCCACTCTAAAACAAAGTCTTTCATGCTTCTAATGTTCAGACTGCAAATGTGGTTCCTTGCAGATTTCTGACTTGTGCTGAAGCCATATTTCTTATTGTCATCATCCAGAATATTTGGTTTTATTTTTAAGGCCAGTCTTTTTAACAGCCAACCTCTCCTCTGCTCGAAAGTTGTAGGCCTCAACTTTACTGGAGGTTTCTTTATGGTCAAACTCACAACTGACTGTTTAAATCATTCACCTGTGCCATTTGCTCTTGATTCTCAATGTAGAGCTGGCTAAAATCCCCACTCAGTACCCATGTCACATCCTCAATTCTGGGATGCCTTGAGGCTTTCTCTGTCAGATTAATTAGGCCATAACTCTTAATCTTAGTCTCTTTACAAAGTCTCAGGACAGATACAAAATATAGAGAAATTTTCTACCAGAGCATAACACACATAACCTGGAGTGTATCAATTAATGGAGTCCTTCTTTCCAACTAAACCTCTTTACCAGTTGCTTTGTTGTCAATATTCTAGTCTCTGACCAAAATTTCCCCTCAAGCTCAGTTTATAGTGTCTAGGGCTGCTTCTCTTGCCAGGGATAAGATAGTTAACACCTACAATGTAAAGAAGAAAGCCTTCATTTTGCTCACAATGTGTAGTTTTATTCCATAGTTGCCTGCCTCGAAGGCAGAACAGTATGGCAGAGAGGCACATCCAGGAGAAGATGCTCACAGTATAGCAAACAGGAAGCAGAGAGATTCAAAGGTTGATCTGGGGAAGGAGATGAACCCTTCCAGGCCACACCCTCAGTGATGACCTACCTCTTTTAAGGAGACCACACCTAATAGCAAATGAGCTGTAAGCCTCCCACATCCCAGTTACCTTCAAAAGCTCCACATATGATTCCATGAAGTTTTTAGGGGGATATCTAGATATAAACCACAACTCTTGTCTTGCTTTATCTACCACTCACTTCACAAGTATTCATGCTTTAAAAACAAATACATGTTGAGTTACAGAAACTAAAAACCTATACCAAGCTCTCATCGAGGATAAGGCATGACTATTTTAGCTCACAGTCTCAAAATTCATGTGGTAGGACATATAGGAAACTAAAGTTATTAGACTTGGGATCTTTCTTCCACACATGAATGCCATGTGTCCATTATATTATTCTCTACTTTTCTTACCCTACCCATAGTAATTCATTCTTTTCTAGAAATAAAGAAGAAATTGGAATATAGGATTATTTCTGAATGTTTGGCTTTGAAATTCTGAAAAAGATAGTCAAGCTTTTACTTTACGTATACTTGTGTGATCCTTTGGTTGTTCCTATAAAGAAAAACGTTAGACCTCAATCATTTTGCAGATTTCAGTAAATAATGCTCAGATCTAAGTTGTAATTTTTAGCTACAATTTATACTTGTCAAATATACTTACATTTGTAATATTTACTAAGTGTGTTCTGTAAAAAAATGAACAGCACCTTAAATGTCAAGAACCAGTTAATTCTAAAGGATTGTTAAGTTAGTTTTCAGGCAGGAAGACTTATAAAATGACTGTTTTGTTTATTATGTATCTTGCTCCAAAATTCATATGAAATTTGTTTTTAGATGTTTTTCAAAAGTATTATTGCCAGGCACAGTAGGACATTTGTGTAGTCCCTACACTCTGAGATGCTTAGTCAGAATGACTGTAAGTTTGAGCTCAGCCAAGTCAATTTTGCAAATTTGTAAAACTTGTCTCAAAATGAAAAGCAAAAAAAGATTTAGGAAGCAGTGCAAAGGCCCTGGGTTTGATCTCCAGTACCAATCCCCACCTCACCCCCCCAAAAAAATTAAAGTGACCAGTAAAATATTTATCAAATATCAGTTTGAATTTTAACTTTAAAATAAAACAAACATGTCCTTTTCAATAGGCCACATTTAAGGGATGGATGGATATAATGTATGCAGCCGTTGATTCCAGAAATGTAAGTATTCCTTATATCCTAATTCTTTTTATAATATTATCAGGTGCTTAATTAAATTAGCAAAGCATAAGAAGACAATTGACATGATTTTACATTGGTTAAAAATATTCAGGGAATAAGATTTAAGTCTGACATTCCTGCTCATTTTAACCTTTCTCTTCAAAGCTTTCATCAAATTTAGTATTTTCTATCATGTTTTATCTTCCTATTCTGAAGTTCCATCTACTTGATCAGTTTCCAAAAAGATAATTTTAATAATTTTCACCCATGTAATTTTTAAGCTGTTTAGATAGAGTTTGATTTTTATCTTTCTAGAATTGTGTTTGATTAAAATGACTATGGTCTTTATATTGGGTACCTTCTTGATCATCTCCAGAACTTCGTTAATTCACTTTATTGGTTATGTATTCCATGTTTGACTAGATTTTATTCTATCTTTAGAAGATTAATCTATTAGGTTACTATGTATGGTGACTCTTTCACTACTTTACTAAGTTACAAATGATAGTTCAATGTCTTTTTGTGATAAATACAGTTAGAAAATTCAATCAGCAATTAAGATTCATAAAATGGATTGTCCAATTAGGTCCACTCAATTTGAAAATTCAATGAATGTTAAGATAGGATCTCAAACTTCTAATGAATAATTTAGTTTTTACGTGCTACATAGATTCATGCACATGTGAATGGTTGCTTCTAAATATCTTCTGTACTTATTTATAGAACTATGTTTTCTTCCTAGTAATTTAAAAGTTCAATACCTTCTGGCATACAGACAGACCTGAGAATCAATGGAACTGATAAGAAGATGCAGACAAAACTACAAACACACTCAGCCATCTTCTCTTTAATAAAGGGGCCAAATATGTACACTGGAAGAAACATAGTCTCTTTACTAAATATTGCTAGAAAAACTGGCTTTCCTCTGCTAAAGGCTAAAATTAGACCCACGTCTATCACAATGAACAGTTTCCATAGTGTAGTGGTTATCATGTTCGCCTGACACATCTATCACAATGCACTAAACTACAATCAAAATGAGTCAAAGATTTTAACATTAAAACAGAAACACTAAATCTCCTGCAGAAAAATGTAGGTAGAAATCTTAAAGACAAAGGGATAAGTAGGAGTCCATGAACAAAAACTAAACTGCATGGGAAAAACTTCAAAGAATCAAGAACCGAGATTTCATCTTTTGAAAACTTTCTGCACTTCAAAAGAAATCAACAGAGTAAAAAGAAAACACATGAACAGGGAAAAAATTATAGCTGACTGTCCCTCTGACAAAGGCCTTCTCCCTAGAACATATAAAGTACTTTAAAAAATCAGGACCCCCAAATGCAAAGAACCAATCCAAAAATGGACATCTGAGATGAATACATACTTCTCAGAGGAAGAAATACAGATGACAAGTAAATATATGGAAAAATGTTCAACATCATTGGTCATTCTAGAAATGCATATTAAAACAGCACTGAGATTCTATCTCACTGCAGAGAGAATGATTATCATCAATAAGTCAGCCAATAAAAAATGTTGTAGGGACTGTGTAGATAAAGGAATCCCTTTCCACTATTGGTGGGCATGCAGACTGGTACAACCACTATGGAAATCAGTGTAGAGATTCCTCAAAAAGCTAGGATTGGAAGTCCCATTGAACCCAGCTATCCCCCTGCTGGGTATTTTTCCAGAAGAACTGAAAACATCATACCACAGCAATATATGTACACCCATGTTTATAGTAGTACAATTTGTCAGAGACAAATAAAGAAGTTGTATTTTTACACAATGGAGTATCACTCAGCTATAAAAAAGGATAAATTTGAGGCATTTATCAGTAAGTGGATGCAACTAGAGATCATATTCTTAGGTGAAATAAATCAAACCCACATGTGCAAACATCTTATTGTCCCCTTAGTGTGAGAATCTGAAAGAAAAAGTAAAAGGTGAAGGGTGTAATAGATACTGGGAAAAGTAAATGAACCTGTTCAAAAGAAAGGAATTACTGAGTTGAGGAGAAAGATAGGAGAGGGAGTAGGGAAAAGAGATTTCTGTATATATGCACACAGGATGGTTTGA